GGGAGGCTCCCTTTCATATTGTTGCTCTGGCCCTAACGCTGCGCATATTGGTCTTAAGAGTTTGCAAACATTTCAAAGACTCTTGTGCGCGGACAGTCGGAATGTCGGAATGCCAGGGCGCAACAGTCACGTTGATTCGCGGTGTTGACGTCCCAAGAGAGGCGTTCTGACACGACTCAAGGATGTCAAGACGCAACAGTTAACGATGATTCGCGGCGTTGAGGTCTCAGGAATGGTGCTCTGGATTAGTTTAGGACTTCCAAACGGTTGTCTTCCAACGGGGCGATTCCCTTAGTGAAAAACGAACCCTAGTAGGGGCCTATGAAGATGGAACTTGGAGAAAGGGTTAATTGCAACATCACATCGTTTTTGAGTCTTGATCATCATCATCATCATCATCATCATCATCAGCATCATCATCATCATCAGCAGCAGCAGCATCATCATCAGCAGAAGCAGCAGCATCATCAGCAGCATCAGCATCAGCATCAGCATCAGCATCAGCATCAGCATCAGCATCAGCATCAGCATCATCACCATCATCATCAGCAGCAGCATCAGCATCATCATTAGCAGCAGCCTCATCAGCATCCTCCTCATCCTCATCCTCCTCATCATCAGCAGCAGCATCCCCATCCTCATCCTCCTCATCATCAGCCGCAGCATCATCATCAGCAGCAGCATCATCATCGCTCTGTTCCTCCTCCAACTCCTCCTCCTCCTCCTCCTCCTCCTCCTCCTCCTGCTGCTCCTCCTCCTCCTCCTCCTCCTCCTCCTCCTCCTCCTCCTCCTCCTCCTCCTCCTCCTGCTGCTCGCCCTCCCCCTCTCCGCCCGGGCGGGTCGGGACGCGAGCGGCCACTCCTGCCGGCGGGCGGCCGCGGGGGGCGGACCTTGGCGGCGCCCATGGCCTCGGCGTGCCCGCGGGCGCGGACCCCCGGCCCCGCGGGGGGGGGGCATGTCGGCACTGGCACCGTCGAAGGCGAGTCGCTGCATGCCAAGCCCTACGTCAGGCGCGTCCCCCATACGGGCGGCTTGTGGACGACAAAATAAAAAGATACCCAAAGAGAAAGATGCAAAAAATGAGCCCCAAAAAATGGTCGAGAAGTCGTCCCTGGACTGTTTTTAGACTCTTCTTGAATAACTGTTCCCCCTCCAGAGGGACAGGCCCGAATCAGACCAAGCCAGGAGGAGGGCCAGCAAAGACAGCGGTGGGCGCCAACTTCACGGCACGGTGCACAGCGAGCGCGCTGCAGGTGCAAGGAAGGGTCCGAGGGACACACGAATCCGCCGACCCTGTCGGCGTCGGCGTGTGTGAGGGGCTTGGCTGTACGAGTCGTCGTCTCCGTCAGTCGTCGTCTCCGTCGTCCGCCTTCCCTGCACCGTCCTCCTCAAGCTTCTGTCAGCGAGAGAAAGATCTAGCAATGTCGAAATCGAGTCGAAGGGAAGCCCCTTTCCTTTGATCCCTTCCCCGCGCCTAGGGAGGGGGTCCCGGGGGGGTCCCAGGGGGGGTCCCAAGACAGGTCCCGGGGGGGGTCGCCACCCAAATACGCTTTGCCCCCCTGGGGGACCTGGGGCCTCAGAAAGTACCAAGACAATCCGCCGAGAAAGTACTGAGATAATCCCCTGAGGGGGCCTCAAGAGGCCAAATTCATTGATTTTTCGTTCTCGCCTTTTCCACTTCCCGCGGCTCCAAAACGGCGCCAGAGGCCCCCAAGATTTCCCAAGACGGCCCAAGAGGCCTCCAAGAAGGCCCCAAAACAGCCCAAGAGGACCCCAAGACGGCACAAAGAGCGTGCCCAGACGCGGGACCCGAACGGACATGTCGAGCCCTCGGCCCCAACAGGCTCCCGAGAGGCCCCTCGAGGTTCCCCAGAGGCCACGAGAGCCCCCGACAGACTTCCGAAGAGATCCCAAGAACCATCCCTGAGGACTCTGGCCCACGTCAGCGTCGTCGCCGTTGCCGCCGCCGCCGCTGTCGTCGTCGTCGTCGTCTCCCTGCAAGGTCAGCGGCACCGGCCGTAGGGCCTTCGCAATAAACAGACACACATCCCAAAATTCCCCATGCTCTCCCATGTTTTCTCGATGCTCGTCTTCCCACCCACTTCACAAGGACGCACGATAAGGATGCAAGGGCCTTGGAAGGCCATCTCGAAGCTTTTCGAGCGGGGCGTGACCAACCAAAGTGGCCAGGGATCGACCGAGGAGGCAAGGATGCAAGGGTACCCTTGGGAAGGTTGGCCATCCTTACTACGCGGGCTGACTGTACCCACCGTTTCCCATATGCTTCTGGGAGTCGACGACGAATCGTGCCTGTGTGTTTTTCCCTCCCGCAACTTTACATGGCACGCTGCACGGCGAGCCCGCCACGGGCACGGCCGGACCTCCGAGGCAGCAGAACCTCATTCTCAAGAAGACGAGACCCCGCGCCAGCCAAAACGCACAGGACGTCCAAAAGGGCACCCTCCATGCACGAGAGCATCCCACAGACACGAAGAACATCGGAGCACCCGAGTATCGTTTAGCCGATCCCCATCCCCAGCGGCGTGGCCAAGGCCCCAGTGGCCGATGTACCCCCCTAGATGGGGGTATAGGTCGTCCCCGTCGGGTTTCGAGAGGTGTATCCCCAACTGGGGTGGTAATTTGGTGGGGGCCTCGAAGGGGATGGGGATGGGATGGGGATCGGTTAAACGATACCGAGCACCCTCCCCAGAGCGACCTCTCGATCTTGCACCTCGGTCCGATCGTACCGACGTGTTGCCAAAGCATTGCGGGCGGGTCGCGGGGTGGGTCGCGGGGGGGTCGCTGGGCGGGTCGCCAGGTGGGTCGTCGCTGGCCGGGTCGCCGGGTGGGCCGCGGACGGGCCGAGGAGAGGGCGGCCAGCAACGAACAAGCGACGATCTGCACCGCGGACTGCTCGCACTTCCCTCGGCGGCGAGCCCGGTGGGGAATCGCGAAGGGGCTTCTCCGAAGGCTCAGAAGTTCCCTGGCCTTCTGAAAAGTGCCCTTGGCCTTCCCCGAAGACACAGAAAACTTCCCAGAGGGCGCGAGGGCTTCTGAGAGGCCCCCGCCACCTTCTGAGAAGGCCTTCTCCTCCTCCCTCCCCCCCCCTCGCTCGCCGCCGAACTTCAACCACGCACTTCAGGCAGCGGTGTCCGTGCTTAGTGGGGCCTCCCGAGGGCTTCTCGTCGCCACGGCTGGGTCCGCGTCGAAAAAGCGGGCTCGGGTGGGCCTCTGGAGGGGTCCGCGGACCGACTCTGAGCGGACTTCGACCAGGCAGGAGAGCTGCCGGTGTCTCACCTGGCCCGCCTCCGAATGGTGCCACCTGCGGTGCGCAAGGCACATAAGCAAAAGCTGCCCCAAACTCGGGCCCGACAAAACGTTTGGTGGCAGACCGTGCGATAGCCTGGGCATCGCAAGGACCTCACCGCAAGGTCTGTCACCAAACCGTTTGGAGGCCTTGGGGGCCACGGGTGCTCGAGACACCTTCGATGAAAGGCCCACGTCCCAAGACAGTCCGCTCAAACTCTCCTGGCTGTCCCGACGGCGTGGTCACCACACCGCTTGAGGACCCCGAAAGATCGCGCACGAGCCCGTGAACCCCAGAGCCATCTTCCGCGCTTCCCGTCACACATCACGAACCTGGGCCGCCCAGGCAGGCCCGTCATGAGCACCGATCCCGACACGGCATGGGCCAAGAGTGGCCCGCTGCTTGGGCGACTGACTTGCGATCTGACTCTGCACTCTTGCCCCGCACCCAAAGCTGCGTGTCCACCTTCGTCCGTTCTCTTCTCTCCCCCCGCCATCCTCAGAGTTAGGTCGGGCATGTCCCCCTACAGGCCGATTTTGGACGAAAAATGAAACATAGTCAGAAAAATACCCCCAAAAATACTCAAGAATAGTCCAAACATCATCCCCTGACTATATTTGTATACCATGTTTAAAAATTCCCCCCCGTAGAGGGACAAGCCCGACTTATCCCCAGAGCCATCCTGGCTCGAGCCGCCGGGGAGGGCGCAGAAGCTGCCGACGTCGCCCGGCACCCGTCCTCTGAGGACGCCTCTCTCCCAGAGCGCGCGTCCTGACCAGGCCTCTCCGCGGCGACTTCGGCCGTGGCGACGAGGGCCCCGCAGGAGGCCCTTGAACAGGCGAGCGCGAGCAGAGGGCCATCTCGACAAGCGCCTTCCACTGCTCGCAGAGTAAGTGCTCGCCCGATGGCCCGGAGCCGCCGCGGGGGACTCACGAGGTACATTGCACGAAGTCCGACGCATGGCTTTGTCGCACGCTTGCGAGCAGGCACGCTGCGAGTGGCGGGACGCGCTCGGCGAGGCATCGCTGCGGGCGCCTCCTCCCCCGACGTCGAGCCCGGGGCCTGCGACGGCCGCCACGGAGGGGCCGCCGCCTCCCCCCCGTGCGCGCAGAGGCGCCCCCGCGCCCGCGCGCCGCACGCGCGACGGAGGGCCGGGCACGCCGCGCCGGAGCGCCCCGCGCGTGGGATGCGACACCGTCCGGGGCGCACAGAGACACACTGACGCTAGGCGTCCGCCCTGGAGGCACGCCACGCGTCCGACCCGAACATACAGTATGCCCACCTTGCAGTAGATCGTTTCCCGGGCGGTGTGGCCAGAAAGCGCCCGCCACGACGCATATGCTATATAAGATTCATCGGTGCGCAAGTCGCCCCTGGGCGGGCGACGCACACATAGCATAACAATGTTGGGGGGACGCACAGAGACATACTGATACTAGACGTCCACCTTGGAGGCCCGCGTCCGACCCGAACATATAGTATGCCCATCTTGCAGTAGATCGTTTCCCGAGCGGAAGGGGGGCCACGGCTGAGCAGAGGGGGGGGGCACGGTCGGTCGGTCGGGAAAAGCAGGGGGGGGGGAGAAGGGGGGCACGGGGGGGCACGGTCGGGCAGGCGGAAAAAAAACATACGGCGGCCACGGGGCGGAGGAGTACGGGGGGGAGCAGGGGGACGGGAGGACACGGTCGGGCAAGGGGTGGAGGCACGGTCGGTCGGTCGGTCGGCATAAGCAGACGAGGGCCACGGGGCGGAAGGGCGAGGGGGGGGGGCAGGGGGGGGACGGGGCACTGTCGGTCGGTCGGCGGGAATAAGCAGACGGGGGCCACAGGGCGGAGGGGTGCGGGGGGGAGCAGGGGGACGGGAGGACACGGTCGGGCAGAGGGGGGGCACGGTCAGGTCAGTCGTCGGTCGGTCGGAAGAAGCAGACGGTGGCCACGGGGCGGAAGGGTGCGGGGGGGAGCAAGGGGACGGGAGGGCACGGTCGGGCAAGGGGGGGCACGGTCGGTCGGTCGGTCGGAAAAACCAGACGGGGGCCACGAGGCGGAGGGGCGCGGGGGGGCACGGTCGGTCGGTCGGTCGGTCGGCATAAGCAAACGGGGGCCACGGGGCGGAGGGGTGCGGGAGGGAGCAGGGAGACGGAAGGGCGCGGTCGGGCAGAGGGGGGGGGGCGCGGTCGGTCGGTCGGTCGGTCGGACTAAGCAGACGGGGGCCATGGGGCAGAGGGGTGCGGGGGGGAGCAGGGGGAAGGGAGGGCACGGTCGGGCAAGGGGTGGGGGCACGGTCGGTCGGCCGGTCGGAATAAGCAGACGGGGGCCACGGGGCAGAGGGGTGCGGGGGGGCAGGCAGAGCACGCGAAAGCGGCACGCATCCCAACGCACATCGTGGCCAAGAGACCCCAGCACACCCAGGCCACACCCCAGCACGTATCCCAACACACGAAGGCAGCACACATCACAGTACATATCCCCGCACACGGAGGCAGCACACAGCCCTGCACACATCCCAGCACACGAAGGCAGGACACGTCCCAGCACACGTCCCAGCACACATCCCAGTCCAGCGCACATCCTTGGTCGGTCGGTCGGTCGGTCGGTCGAAATAATGCAGTGCGAGATCACACCGGTAGGTATGATACTGAACAAATAATTGGGTCCACGAAGCCACGAACTTCGCGTCCCCGAAATCATAACCTTTGTAAAGTATGCAGTAATCGCGCTTTCAAGGCCACAGTCCTTTATTATCCCAGTGCGACCCTACCTAGGAGCTGGAGCATTTAGGAAAGCAACATCTACATCTACACCGACAGCTACGTTTACATCTACCCTTGCATCTACATCTACATCAACATCAACAGCGAGACTCACATCTACATCTACATATACACCTACATCTACACCTGCGTCTACATCTACATCTACATATACACCTACATCCACATCTACACCTACACCTACATCTACATCTACATATACCCTTTCGCATTGGTTTTGCTTTTGCTTTGCATTGCCTTTGATGTTGCTCTTGCCTTTGCTTTTGCTCTTGCCTAGCGCTGCGCTATGCTGCGCTGCGCTAAGCTAAGCTAGGGTAGGCTAAGCGATGCTAAGCTAAGCTAAGCTAAGCTAAGCTGGGCTAGGCTAAGCTACGCTAAGCTAAGCTGAGCTAAGCTAAGCCAAGCTAAGCTAAGCTAAACTAAGCTATGCTAAGCTAGGCTAGGCTAAGCTAAGCTAAGTTAAACTAAGCCAAGCTAAGCTAAGCTAAGCTAAGATGGGATAAGCTACGCTAAGCTAAGATAAAATAAGCTAAGCTAAACTAAGCTAAGATAAGCTAGGCTAGGCACAGCTAAGCTATGCTAAGCTAAGCTCAGATGAGATAAGCTTAACTAAGCTAAGCTAAGATGGGATAAGCTAAGCTAAGCTAAGCTAAACTAAGCTGAGCTAAGCTAAGCTAAGCTGAGCTAAGCTAAGCTAGGCTAGGCTAGGCTAGGCTAAGCTAAGCTAAGCTAAGCTAAGCTAAGCTAAGCTAAGCTAAGCTAAGATGATATAAGCTAAGCTAAGCTAAGCTTAGCTTAGCTAAGCTAAGCTAAGCTAAGCTTAGCTAAGCTAAGCTTGCTGAACCCAGGGGGCGCAACTGGGGGAACCGCGGGGCGCAACTGGAGGAACCGCCCGGGGCGGGGTCCACTGCCCGGCCCTTTAAGCACACACGGTAAGAACCCTTCTAGGCAGAGCCTAGGTAGGGAATAAAAAGCCCCCAAGACGGTACAGGAGGACTCCGAGACGGCCCAAGAATGCTCCAAGGCGCCCAAGATGGTCCCAAGAAGGCCCAAAAGGCTTCCAAGGCCCCCAAGAGCGCTCCAAGAACACCTCCAAAAAGGGTCCCCAGAGGCCAACATCTGCGATGTTCTGTCAGTTCTTGATCGATTTGGGCACGCTCGAGTCTCCGGTGGCCCCCGTTCGGAGCTCCGACGCTGCTTCACCACGGCGCCCAGGCCTCACAACATAGCTCTTGCATGCCCCATTCTCCGAGAGAGGGGGCCAGCGGCAGGGGGCGAGGCCACCTCGCGGACATCCTCAAGAGTCTCGGCTTCCTTCCCGACCCCTCCATGACCGTTATCCTCGCACTCGCTTGACACCATGCGGAAATGGCAGGCCCGCCTTGATGTCGATAACCTCCAGCCTCAAATAGATCCGGCTGCCCTGGCACCAGCGCCGGGGGCAGCCAAGGGCGTGCCACCGGCTGCGAAGCGCGCGTGCTGCGTCAACGGGCGGACCGCCCCGACCCGTGCCGAGTGTGCAGGCAATCTGACGTGGCCCGCCGACTCGCTAACCGCGCCACGATCGAGGCAACACGAGGCCTCGTCCTCCCCTGCCTCCTCTGGGGCGCAAAAGAAAAAATGGCACCGCCGCTGCCCGGCCCTCTCCTGCAAGAATCGTGTCGACGAGGATTTCCGGGTGAGGCCGGAAGGGTATCGGCATCGGTATCGGTGTGCCCTTCTCCAGGACCTCACGGGACGAGGGGACGAGGTGCTTGCAGACCGAGGCGAGCAGTCAAGGACGAGTGCGCGCTGTCAAGGGGGGAAGAGGAGGAGGAGGGGCAGCAGGAGGAGGACGGGGAGGGGAGGGGGAGGGGGGAAAGAAGACCAGGTGGAGGAGGAGAGGGCGGAGGAAAAGGAGGAGGGGGCAATAAGAAAGGGAAGGTACCGCATCAGCTCACGCAGCTAGCTTACGCCCCCCTTTTCCCCATCCCCCAGTTCGTTCGACACCATCCTCCCTCCTCCCCCTCCTCCCCCTCCTCCTCCTCCTCCTCCTCCTCCTCCTCCTCCTCCTCCTCCTCCTCCTCCTCCTCCTCCATCTCATCCTCATCCTCATCCTCATCCTCATCCTCATCCTCATCCTCATCCTCATCCTCTCCTCATCCTCATCCTCATCCTCATCCTCATCCTCATCCTCATCCTCATCCTCATCCTCATCCTCATCCTCATCCTCATTCATCCTCATCCTCATCCTCCTCATCCTCATCATCTCATCCTCATCCTCATCATCATCATCATCATCATCATCACATCATCATCATCATCATCATCATCATCATCATCATCATCATCATCATCATCATCATCATCATCACATCATCATCATCATCATCATCAGCAACAGCAGCATCAGCATCATCATCATCATCATCATCATCATCATCATCATCATCATCATCATCATCATCATCATCATCATCATCATCATCATCATCATCATCATCATCATCATCATCATCATCATCGTCATCATCATCGTCATCATCATCATCATCATCATCATCATAATCATCATCATCATCATCGTCATCATCATCATCATCAACATCATCAGCAACAGCAGCATCAGCATCATCATCAGCAGCATCATCATCATCATAATCATCATCATCATCATCGTCATCATCATCATCATCAGCATTATCAAAATCATCAGCAGCAGCATCAGCATCATCATCAGCAGCAACAGCATCAGCATCATCATCATCAGCATCATCATCAGCATCATCATGATCAGCAGCATCATCATCATCATCATCGTCAGCATCATCATCATCATCATCATCAGCATCATCATCATCATCCTCGTCGTCATCATCAGCAGCAGCATCATCATCATCAGCATCAGCAGCAGCATCATCATCATCAGCAGCATCATCATCATCTCCTTCTCTTCATCCTCCTCCTCCTCCTCCGCCTTGTCCTATGGCTTCCTCCTGGCTTCCTCCTCCTACTGTTCCTCCTCCTCCTCCTCCTGACCCTCCTGCTCCTCCTGCCTGTCATCCTCCACCAGGCTTCCTCCTCCTCCTCTTTCTCCTCCTCCTTCTCCCACGTCTGCTCCTCCTCCTCCTCATCCTCCTCCTCGTCCTGCTCCTCCTCCTCCTCCTCTTCCTCCTCCTCCTCCTCCTCCATCTTCTCCTCCTCCTCCTCCTTTTCCTCCTCCTTTTCCTCCTCCTCCTTTTCCTCCCCCTCCGCCTCCTCCTCCTCTTCCTCCTCTTCCTCATCCTCATCCTCCTCATCCTTCTCCTCATCCTCCTCTTCTGCTTATGATTAGTCGTATTAATCTTATCATTGTCATTATTATTCTTAGTATGATGGTTATTGATATGCGTGTTAGCCTTCGTCTTCTTATCATTAGTCGTATTATTAATTAGCTTACTATTCGCCGTACTAGTATTCTTCTTCGTAATCGTAGTACGAGTATTCTATTCGTCTGCGTCGAATTCTTCGTTGTCGTATTAGTATGCGCCGTCGCCGTCTTCTTATTAGTATTAGTAGTATCCTTGACAGTCGTAGCATTATGATTATTACTAGTATTCGTAATAGTATTAGTAGTAGTGTTAGGATGCTGCTCAGTAGTATTAATATTCATATTATTGGTATTACGAATAATCGTAGTCGTATGGTTCGCCTTCGTATGAATGTTCGTGATCGTCGTCGTCGAATTAGTATTCGTATTGGTAATATGGTTATTCTGACCCGTATTAGTATTATTAATAAGTATTAGTATTAGGCGTAGCTGCGTCTTGGTATTCGCCTTATGTGTCTAATTAATTTTCTTATTAATATTATTCTTAATAAAATTAGTGGTCTGAATACCCGTCTTAGTATTAGTGTTATGCTTCTTCTTAGTATTCATATTAGTAGTCGTAGTAGTAGTAGTAGTAGTAGCAGCAGCAGTAGTAGTAGTGGTAGTAGTAGTAGTAGTAGTAGTAGTAGTAGTAGTGGTAGTAGTAGTAGTAGTAGTAGTAGTAATAGTAGTAGTAGTAGTAGTAGTAGTAGTAGTAGTAGTAATACGTCTAGTCGTATTATTGGAATTGTTAGTGTTCCTCTTCCTCCTCCTCGTCCTCCTCCAGTTCCTTCCCCGCCTCCTCCTGATCCGCCTCCTCATCCTCCTCGGCTTCTTCTTAGTATGTTTGTGTTGCTTATGCTTATGGTGTTGAGTCTTCGTCGTCGCATTCTGGTTATTATTCGTAATAGCAGTATTATTCTTATTATTAGTAGTATCATTCCTAATATTCCTCTTCCTCTTCCTCTTCTTCCTCCTCTTCCTCCCCCTCCTCCTCATCATCATCCTTCTCCTCCGCCTCTTCCGCCTCCTCCGCCTCCTCCGCCTCATCCGCCGCCTCCTCCTCCTCCTCCCTCATCCTCCTCCTCCTCCGCCTCCTCCTCCTCCTCCGCCTCCTCCGCCTCCTCCGCCTCCTCCGCCTCCTCCGCCTCCTCCGCCTCCTCCTCCTCCTCCTCCTCCTCCTCCTCCTCCGCCCTCCTCCTCCTCCACCTCCCCCTCCCCCTCCCCCTCAATCTCCTCCTCCTCCTCCTCCTCCTCCTCCTCCTCCTCCTCCTCGGTGCTCAAGCGGCCCCCCGCGGCACTTCGAGTTGTTAGCGCCAACTTCAGAGTGGCATTTGCGCTATCGGGCCAATTGGCTCGGTGTGGCATGTCTGGCATGGCCCCTCCTCGCCGCGGCTATGGCAACAAGGAAGGGAACGCGCCCAAGACGTGGCGCTGCATCTGCGGGTGCGGCAAAAACTTGCTCTCCTGGTCCAACTGCAAGCACTGCGGCGAGCACTGGTCCAAGTCTGTGCCGCCCTACGTCCCTCCGCGTGGGCCACCTGGGGCTTGGGCACAGCAGGGTCAGCTCGCCCTGTCGTTCGGCACGCGGCAGAGCAACATGGGTTTGCCTGGGCTTGCTCCTCTTCCTCCTGGCCCCATTGGCAGTGGGCCTGCCTCTGTCCATGCGCAGTCCAGCAGCTTGTCCGATGCTGAGCTTCAGCAGCTCATCACCCTCGGCGAGAAGGCGGGCCAGCACGATATGGTCAAGTGGCACAAGCTGGAGCTCGGGCGTCGTCAGCAACAACCCCCTCCTGCACAATATCGCGCTGACGAAGCCTTCCGTCGCATTGGTTTCCTCAAGCAGCAGCTCTCGGCCGACGTCCAGCGGGCCGATCACCTGTCCGAGCAGTTTCAGCAAGCTTGCGACAGGGTTCAGTCTACGGAGTCCGAGCTGGGCAAGGCGGAGCTTAAGTACCAGTCCGCAGTCGCTGAGATCCACTCGCAGATGGTGGGGCCAGCGGTTGCAGCAGCGGAGAGTCCGAGCCCAGGTTTTTACTTGGAGGCTATCTTGGACGGGCGGCTCAACTCTTTCGGTTTCGATGCAGAAAAGATGTTCGGCCTGGACGACTACATCGATGTATCACCTGAAGATCGTGAAGAGGCCAAGCGGCGTGCAGAGACACTGTCTCAAGGCATACGCGATTTGGCGACCAACCTTTTCGGCGAGATCAAGAAGAAAGCAGAAGAAGAGAAGACCGCTCACCAAGCACTTCTCACCCGGCTTGCTGGGAAGCGGCGGCGTGCTGAGGCTGGCGCCAGAGTTCCCGGCGTTGGAGAACCGAACGCTGGGGCCAACGGCGCTGCTACTGCGCCCCCTGCGGGTACGACGGGTACATCTGCTGCACTTTCCGAGCCTGCCCCTGCTCCCGCGGCTGCTCCTTCTTCGGGAGCTGCTGCTGCCTCTTCAGCCCCTTCCCACGACGACATTCGGAAGCGGGCCGCTTCCTATTCAGCTAAAGGCGCAAGCAAGGGTGCTATGGCGGCAGGGCAGAAAGCCGAGCCGCAGCTTTAGCCCCCTAACGTGCCCTTCTTCGAATTGTTGCGTAGGTCCTGTTGCTGATGCTGCCCTTTCTCCTCCCACATCTCCTCCCTCTTGTCCGGGGGTGGGGAGGTCAACGGTTCCGCAAGACCCGTTGCTCGCGTCTGCAAACTTTTCCTCAACGCGCGGCAGTCTGCCCCAGTCCGCGCCCCTGAAGGCCAGCACCCCCACTGAGCCGCGGGCAGGGGCTCGGTTGCCGCAATCTGATTGGCATGCTTCTCCTTCCTCCCCTCATCAGGGGCACGACCACGCGAGTTCGTCTGGCTTCTTCCCATGTTTTGCACCCCAGGCCAGCCCAGGATATTCGTCGTTTAGCTTAAGTGTTCAAACGGTCAACGTTACATCCTGGAAGTCTGAAGGAGGAGGAGGACTCATGAAGTGGTTGCCCAAAGTAACTGCCAACGTGCTCTTGATCCAGGAACACCATCTTCTAGACACTGATATCGATGACGCTGTCTCCTGGGCGCGCAATCAAGGCTCGACGTCGTTGTTAATCCCTGCCCCCCGCGGGGTT